AATATTTATATTATAAAATTTATTTATTTTGTTTTACTTGTTTTCATATTTTTTATTTTTCATTTAATTATTTGTATTTATTTTATTTTTTTATATTTAATTAATTAATTAATTAATTATATATGTATATTTTTTCATTTTGTCATTGAAATATTTTTCATTTAATTATTTGTATTTATTTTATTGTTTATATTCATTTTGATTATTTATTAATTTATTTAATTTTCATTTTTCCATTTCTCATTTAATTATTTGTATTTATTTTATTTATTTTTATGTATTCATTTATTTATATTAAATTTTCTATTTATATGCATTTAATTTATTTATTTTCATTTTTTTAATATTCATTTTTTATATTTGTTTTATCTATTGAAATTTTTATTCATTTTCATTTAATTCTTCATTTACTTGTATTTATTTAATTTTATTTATTTATATGTATTAATTTATGTTCATTTTTTAAAATAAATTTATTTATTTATTTATTTTATTCTTCATTTAATTATTTGTAGTCATCTTATTTTATTTATTTGTATAAATGTATTTATTTATTCAATTATTTTTATTTATTTATGTTTTATTTTCTTTTTTTATTCACTTTAATTTATTTTTCATTTAATTATTTATTTTTTTATTTTCATTATTTATTTTTTATTGAACTTTCAATTTATCAAATTTAAAAATATATGTAACATCAACCTTTCAGCGGAAGTTTATCAGTGGCTGGAAAACACTTGCTGTCCTTATAACTCATTGTACTGCATTGGTCGGGGTGTTTGGGTATTTGTGTATTTTGCCTGAGGATTTCAGTTTGCATCTGTATTGGAAGGAAATGTCAGGGAAGGGTTTGGAGTGAAGCGGAAGAAGAGCTTCCTGAGTTTCTTTCTCCAATGTTCAAGTTTTCTAAGGCTCTCCCTGTATTATTACATAATAGTAAGACAACTTATAGGGCTGCACAAGTTGAAGGACATATCTAATTGCAATTTATCTGTTCAAAATTACGATTTAAAATGTGATTTACTACCATTTGATAAAAGAGCTACAGGTTTGATGTGGTGGTTTTAACAGAACCAAAGAAAGACCAAGCAAATGCATGTGTCCAGGATTTACCACACATGACCTCACGTGACTCTCTCTAACCCAGTGAATGTGTATAACCCAATTGGCAAACTGGCTGTACTCTTTGATTCAAATTTGGGATTTGAGAAACAAATACAGTGGTTCAGTGTTACTCTCTTAGCTAATCCACTTATTTGTGGATGTAAACCCATTGAAATTATTGCAACGTTCTATATTATGGTCATAGTCATTTTTAATCAAGACAAGTCAAGTTGAGCTTTAATGTGAATCCGCTAAACGTGTGGACATAAAGTGAAACAAAATTAAGAACACAAGATCATTGCGCATACTTTATTTTAGAGCTCACAATATGGTTTCATCATTAAAGGGGCATGAAACACCAAAACACATTTGTTGAGCTGTTGACAGTCATATATGCATCAATATGCCTTCTCGTGTCCTCCTCGTGAAACGTCATCAACCGTCGCCGAAGTACTGTTCCAGTTCAAAGTTCACATCTTGCCAAGTACAGATAAAATTCCCGGTTGTGTACTTGCTCCACCCCTTTTGTCAAGGACACATGGAGAGGCGACTCGTGCAAACTTGTGAAGCTCAGGTATGCCAGAATGCATGGCAGCCCAACCAGCGAAAGCTAATGGCGGAGGGGAAAACCTGCACAATTTTAAAAATACTCCTTTGCAGTGTCACAAAATAAAGTTTTAAGAGTTTTTCAAGGCAAGAATGTAGGTGTTTATACTCGAATCTGCAGTTTACTCTTGAAGATAGCGCATCTTTGATGATGTGCCTCAGCTAATGCGGACTCTCACACCCTCCTCCTTTTGACACGTACAAAAGCAGAATGTCAATCAAAGCGTTTCCTTCATCAAGTCTGATTATAAACAATACAATTAATATATGTTGACCAATAGATGCTGAATATATTCACACACTGCTGACACACAACTGGGTTTAAACCCCTTATAAAAGTGATTTTTAACCGTTAAAGTCATTTATTTGTGTAGTATACTTTTTCTCACCTTAAAAATAACCATAGAACAACCATCCAAGAACAAGCAAACAGATATAACTGAGCTTCGCCAGCAGCGTATCGTATCTCGTGGCATTGGCGAATGGTTTATTAGCAGTGGCTCTGAGCCCTGGAGGAAGTGCCGTTGACTTAAAGAGCGCTCTATCAATAGAGTCGCGGCACACAGCAGCCTCTATCTGTGTGCTCACAATGGGGATATTATGTGGAGCAGCGAGTCTGCAGTCTGTGCGCGCACACACACACACACTCCTCTGCTCATATGAGCGCTCATATGATGAACACACTCGCTTCACAAGCCTCTGTTTGCTTCAGCTTCTGGCCAAAATCACAAACTAGCTGCGAGTCCTGTTGATTGGCTCTGAATTGACCTCATGCATGGCTACTGTGATTTCCATAAAGCCACCCAGGCGTTTCCGGTGATTTTTATATGCACATTTTGGAAGTAAAGCTAGTTAATTGCTTCGAAATAAAACAAATAAATTATATTAAAATACAAAGTAGACACTTTGGTGATCTGAAATATGTCTTGGATTGAGCTTTAGTTTGATTACCACCCTTTTAAAATGTAATTATAATGAAGTAGTCACTGTGTATTTTGCATTTTAAAAGCGTAACGTCATCTTAATCCCTTATTTATCAGGGGTTACCACAGCAGAATGAACCGCCAACTATTCCAGCATGTTTTACACAGCGGATGCCCTTCCAGCAGCAACCCAGTACTAGGAAACACCCATACACAGTCATTCACACACATAAACACTCATACACTACAGCCAAGTTCACTGTGGGGCAAACCCGGAGCAAGCCCACACCAACACGGGGAGAACATGCAAACTCCACATAGAAATGCCAGCTGTCCCAGCTGGGACTCGAACCAGTGAACCTGACCACTGAGCTACCGTGTCGCCCCTCAATAAGTTACATTTTTTTAATTTATTTTATTTTTTTTATTAACAAGACAATACATCATAATATACAATACAACAAAGGAAAAATTACAGTGCGTCTTATTTTTCTTATTTTCCCACTATCCCCTTAAAATAAAATAAATTCAAATGTATGAATTATAAACAAACATATCTTCTAAAAGAAATAATAATAAATTAAAAATAAAATACAAGAATTAAAAGAAATTGTTAAACAGTATAATAATAAATGAGCAAGTTTACGATAAAAGCAAAAATAAAAAATTAAAATTAAATAAATAAATAAATAAATAAAATTATAATAATAACAATTGAAAATAATAGTAATTAAAAGTTCACATTAAGGAGTCAATATTTCTTGTTTATTAGATCTGATATCAACTAAACAAGGTAAACCTTTGATATAGTCTAAAACAGGGTTCCAGGTCTTGTAAAAAGATTTGAGAGATCCTGCAAGTAAACATCGTGATTTTTCAAGTTTTATGTAACTAAAAATTTCATGTGATGGAGGAATCACCTGTTTCCATTTGATAAGAATGGCTCATCTAGCTAGAAGAGTAGATAAGGCAATAACTTGGCGAGATGCAACAGTCAGGTCAACTCTCTCTGAAATACCAAAAAGCTCTGTCAAGGGGTTAGGGTCTAGATTTATGTAATAAGTTACATTTTATTATATATTCACACATTTATTTATTTGTATGTGATATAGAGTTAGTGAAACCTCTAAACTTATCAGCATATCTTTGTAAACCCAGTGTTATTCACTATGGAGATTCCCTCAGCAGTCTGCATATGGGTCTACAGCACTTACAAGTGGGCCATCATTAATTAGGACAGTGTTCTGATGTCTCATGTGCTGTGCTTATGGGTGAAACCACTCTGAAATGCACTGAAACAGAAACACCGTCCTTCTACAGCCATACCCGGACTGCTAATCGATATTACAAATTGATTAGTAGTGCATGAACTGAAGACGTGCAGCGACATGACGCATGAAAAAATTTCTGTGATAACCGAAGGTGGGGAAAAGTCTGTTTATAATAATAGCCGTGTACGTGTGGCCGGGGCCTGAGGTTAAACAGTGGTGTGTGTGCAGACGTGTGGACCTCTCAGATCATGAGACGCTCCTCATGCGTCAGGACTCTCTGATGTCCCACAGCCTGCAGAAAATCACTGCTTTCATCAGCAGAAACACACACACACACACACACACACACACACACACACTGGAGGCCAGCGCTTGATGACCTGATCACACCTACAGGACACACTCTGAGCATTGACCATACAGAGAAAAACATATGAGCTGATAAAAACACATTAAACTGATGAACGCCTGTGAGTTTAGCTCATTTATATCCCTCAATAGTGTACACTACCTGACACCTATCCAGGTTTTATGAACACAGATAATAACTTGACTTTTAGTTGATGGTTTGGTGTCAGAAGTGTCTCTGTGAAAGGTGAAGGCCTCTAGATTTTGCTGATTTGAGCTCAATTAAATCTGATCATGTCTTGATGTTGACTGATTTGATGAGGACAGTGCGGTCTGACTCTGCTCAGACTAAAGTCTCATCACTGAACAGAAATAATGTCCAGTATTGAATATAAAGTCCTGCTGCAGTGGAGACAGAATGAAAGTATAATAGAGAAAGCCTTCAGCAGGACTGCCAGAGTTCGTCAAGAGTCTTTGTGTTCATCTTTTACGCCTCTTCCTTCATCATGCTCAATAATGTTGATGTCTGGTGACTGGGTTGGCCAATCCTGGAGCAGCTTGACCTTCTCTGTTTTCAGTTACATATTATTATATTATTTATTATTAATTAGTAGATCATTTTTGACCCGTAAGTCAGCAGGAGGGTTAGGTAAATGTGCTTTATGTAGTTGTTATATTTATTAGTAGTGCTTGAGTTAGCAGTATATAAATGTGTGATCGTGTGCAACTCTCTGTGTCTCCCGTGCAGAGATATATCGAGTATGAAGACTCTCAGGAGCAAGATAAGAAAGCTCTGCAGACTCGCGTTCAGCTTCTGGAGGCTCAAACCCGACAGATGGAGTTCAAGACCAAGAACTGCACAGATCAGAGTAAGTCAAGTCACTTCATCTTTTGTTCAATATTCACAACCCATTCGACTATTATTGCATCATTCACACCCAGAAAACAAACCAACCTAGTGTTTTCATCATCACTCAGAAATGAGCATTTTAGAGTTTTATTTAATTGGTTTGATTATTTATTTTATAAGTGCATTGGGGTAGAATTGTGTAGTGTGTAAGTTCTGGTTGTTAATGTTATTATGAATTGTCCTTTTATTAATATTAATATCATTTATTTATTTATTTATTTATTTTTAATATTAATTATTTATTTTGGTAATAATGTTATTTATTTATTTATTGTTAATACTATCACAAATGTTACTTTTATTAATATTAATTTATTTGTAATATTATTATTAATGTATTTTAATATTATTTATTTTCCTATTAATTGTTATTGATTTTATTAATATTATTACAAATTAAACTTTTATTAATAATGATATTATTATTATTATTATTTTTAAATATTAATAATTTAGATTTTAATATTATTTATTTATTTTTATTATTACTATTATTATTTTAAATAAATTATATTATATTTTCTCTTTTTCATATTAATAATATTTATTTATTTGTAATATGGTTAATCAATTTTGATTAATATTATTTATTTAATTATATATTTTACTTTTATTAATATTGATTTTATTTAATTATTTGTAATATTATTTTATTAATATAATTTATTTATGGTTAATATTATCATTAATATTATAAATTGCACTTTTATTAATATTAATATAATTTATTTATTTATAATAATATTAATTTAGATTTTAGTATTATTTATTTATTGTTATTATATTATTGTTATTATTTTTTTTTGTCTTATTCATATTAATAATATTTATTTATTTGTAATATGATTAATTTATTTAGATTAATATTATTTATTTAATTATATATTTTACCTTTATTAATATTAATATTTATTTAATAATTTGTAATATTATTATTTATTTTTATTAATATTATTTATTTATTGTTATTATTATTATTAATATTATAAATTGTACTTTTATTTATATTAATATAATTTATTTATTTATAATAATATCAATTTAAATTTTGTGATATTATTTATTTATTGTTATTAATATTATTAACTTTACTTTTATTCATTCATTCATACATCAAGACTGGCCACAATAATGGCGAACACTTAAACACTTAAAGTTAGAATTACTTACAACAGTTTATTAAGCAACAAGTGAATATAAAGAGGTTTTTATTTTAGACATTTGTTGCTCTATTTTACTAACAAAATCATTATAAACAGCCACAGCAATGTACTGTTCTGTTTTTTGACAGATAAAAAGTACAAATATCTTCATCTTTTATAAGAATCTCAGCAGCTTGTTGAATTTCTGCTGTTTTGGTCTTTAATTCATAATCATCAGTGGGATTTTTTTCTTTGATTCACAGCACATACTCCTCTGTCAGACACATGCCTCTTTTGATAACATGATGACCACACAAAAATGAGAACATTTCATGTTTGTGTCAATGTTTATTTTTATTTTAGGGTTTCTGCTGCCCCCTTCTGGCTATACACTGCAGCACATGCTTTTCTCACTTAAAAGTTTTAGTTGTTTCTAGTCATCTAAAAAAATTTTAATCAAGAAGCATTTCATAGATAAAAAAATCTAGTTTTTTTAGACATAATATGTAAAAATTTAATTTTTAGTTTTTATTTTTAAAACAAGCAAAATAGTCTAGTTTTTGCTTTGAATTACCATCATTTTTCTTGTTTTGAGGAAAAACTCAATGTTGATTTATTATTCTGAAAATAAGATTTTATTTTAAATTTATATTTATTTTAACTTCAAAATGCTTTTTTGTTTCAGAATTTTTAGATATTTGGGCTAGAAACAAGACAAAAACTCTAAGTTAGAAACACAAATGTGTTTGTTGTTGCTGTAGTTTATAATATCCTCTCAGCAAAGCCTCTGAAAATGAATTGTAATAAATCTGTGTTCACACTGTAGTACATCTGCATTCTAAGATGCCTCTTGTGCTTCTTATTGTGTCAGTTGGCCGATTAGAGGAGCGTGAAGCTGAGCTGAAGAAAGAGTATAATGCGCTCCATCAGAGACACACTGAGGTAAAAACATTCACATGATAAACTCTGTGTAAACTGTTTATCATTGCAAACATGTATATTTTGTGTTTCCTAAAGCTTACAGTAGACTAGTATAAATAATTTATAAATGACAGCCGTCAATATTATCAGTATACTTATAATTTTACCCCCTATAATCCACATGGATGGTTTAATGGTGATTTATCGCATCCAAAATAAAAGTAAAAAACATAAGACATAAGTGTGTACAATTGATATGTGTATATAAATCACATGTCCATGCAGATAATTCAGAAAATGTTTATTTATATTTGGATATAAAATATGTATGTATATGATACAAATTATTTTAAAGTTTATGTGTCTATGTAACAAAATAGATTTTTAATAATTTAGTTTTTATGTATGGTTGTGTATCTCATATTCCTTATAAATATATATATATATATATATATATATATATATATATATATATATGTGTGTGTGTATATATAATACATATTATGTCAGAGGAAACTTTTATTTTAGATGCGATTAATTGCGATTAATCCTTTGCCTAGCGCTAATGTTTTGTAATAACTTATGTTATGTTTTGTAATAACTTATGTTCTTTTGTAACTATACTATTATCTAATTTTTTCCTCCTCACTGTTGCATTATCCGATATTTATTAATGAGAGATTTTATGCATGTTTATGACAACTGTTATTCAGTCTTTGTCATGACAACTTGACTGTTACTAAGACATCAAAACTTGTTATAAACATGATTATCAGGGATTATGTGCATATTTTTCTGATCATGTTTTCAGTGGAACAAACTGTATTTGTCATTAAAAGTGTCATTACTCTGTCAAATCATTTTATAACAGTCATTAATGTTTATAACAGATGTTATAAGGTGTCATTCGCTCAGTTATGACACTTTAAATGCAAAGATGACATTGTTTGTTATGACAACTTGACATACAAATTAATCACAAGCTGCTTTTGTCTTTATGACAACTTGACGTTACCGAGAGAACTTAAACTGTCATAAATCTGTCATAAACATGATCTTCATTATAATAGTGTCATGAATATTTTTCTGATCATATTTTCACTGTATTTGTCATTAACATCTGTTATTAACAGTGTCATTACTCTGTCAAATCATTTTATAAGAGTGTTATTAATATTTAATAACATTTTAATGACAAATCCAGCTTGTACCACTGTAGCTGAGGACGGAAATACATATATTAATGATGCAGTGTTTTTCAGCTGTATGCAATCAAAATAATGATGTGTGTTTCTGCATTTCTAGATGATCCACAGCTACATGGAGCACCTGGAGAGATCCAAATACCAGCAGCAGATGTCGGAGACCACAGAAACCAGCCATCAGAGCAGAATAAGGTCAGAGTTCACTATGATTTCAGGAATACTGCGGTATATTATGATCCACTTACACAGGTACAGTTTGGTCACTATAGAGGTGCAGGACACTGTGCGTGTGTGAGTGTGTTTTAGTGTGTGTATGCATGTGTGTGTGTGTGTGCATGTGTGGTTTAGTGTGTATATGCATAAGGATGTGTGAATGTGTTTTAGAGTTTGCGTGTTTTGCTTAATATTACTTTTTTTGCGATCGTATTTTTTCAGACTTTCGAAGTGAAATCTAGTGTGCAGTTCTGTGTGTGTTTTCCGCATGCGTGTGGTCGACATGTCCATCTGCTCAGAGGATTATGGGATTATTTTAAAAACATTTGTGTCAAATGAGAGAGTTTAGGGGAGAAAAACCAGTGCATTTCTGCTGATTTAATGCTTTTACTGCCACTATTTTCATTAGTTTTGTTCATC